GTATGTATGTATGTATGTATATATATATATTCACCTGCCGCTTCTCATGCCAGGTTTCACCCTTTCTTGAGAAATGAGAGTGGTCTCTCAATGCAAAGTGTTGGAGGTGAGTTTCAGCTACTAACACGCTAACATTTAGCTCAATATCCACCAAASTGACTGCGGTGATTTGCGGTGGCAGCCATCTTGAATCAGGTTGTGTTTCAAAGTTAATCAGTTGTAGATGATCCTGTGAGAGTTTCATCAGGATTCATCCAGTGCTTCCTGAGATATTTTGCTGACAAAATGCACATCTAGAGGCTCGGGCAATAATTCTGTTCACCTTTTGGTGATGGCAATAAAAATGAATCAGGGACATTATTAAATAAATGTAAACTTGTATGTCATTATTTAAAAAAAAAACACGACTAAGACCATAAAAGACACACCTGACATTTTCTGAGATGGTAAACATACAAGATTTATTTGTTCAGATTCTAATCACAAAATCTTTGCGCTAGAGTCAGAGCATTTTAAAGTGGAGTGTCTAAGATTTTAAACCATCTTTAATTACAGCTTAATCCCCTAAAAAAGCACTAAAGTAGCTCTTTAGTATGGTGAGCTGAGGGAGTTTGACAGGAAGAATTACGAACCCGTGTCCTCTCCAATAAGCGTTTTATTTTGAAGGTTTTGACTGTAAAAGCTTATTCTTAATATTGCATAACTTGACAGTGACAGAGCCGGTCAGAGCATGTGACTTGTCCCTTCGATCTGCTCGGTGCTCTTCTTCCCAGGCTCCCTCTTCCTGCCTCTGCCAGGCAGTTATCTCAGCAGTCAGTGACCCTGGACGGCGTGAGGCAGTGTGTGGGCAGAGGGGGCTGTCATGTGTGAGATGATGCTCCGCYGTCACACTCAGCAGGAGAGTCGGCTCACTAAAACCCAGAGAGCTGCAACACAATGCCTTCAAATCTGCTTATGTGCTGTGTCAGGTTTCAGAGGACAAGAGATTACTAATGACTGATCCTTTCTGTGGAAGTTGCCCAAAAGGAAGCGGACTGTCCAACCCCTCGCTTCAGTTGAAAAAATGAACATACTTTTACTAAATAACTTCCTTCTGGTATGTCCTAAAAAGGATGAATCTTGCTGCACTATACACAATTTTATTTCCTTTATGTTTAATTTTTTTTTTGAAGCATTTAAACACAATTCGAGAAAGGCAGGAAAGAGAGATTGGGAAGCACAACGGTGAGGCTGAGCATCCTAAAATAGCACTGAAGTTACACTACTGCGCATTTTTCCAGGGGCTCCGAGAAATTCCCTGATGGCTTTCTAGCAATACCTGAATCCCAGTTTGGGAGCAGAACCGAGCGCACTGCGAGTCTGAGCAAACAGCTTGAAGGAAGCTCTTGTCCTAAATGCCGTCCTATTGGTTTTTTAAACATCTGCACTTGCTGAATCTTTAAAGTGGCAAAGAAAGCTGAAGTGTAGCAACAAATCCAAGAAAACAAATGTGAATGAAGCACATGCTGAGATATAATCTTCTTTAATTTGAAAATATTTATCATCTGATTAGAGGCCATTTGTAGATCCATTAAAATATCAGTCAAAACTAACATTCAAAACATTAGACTGACAGAGAATTTGGTCAAAGTGCAAGTTAATAAGCTGCAGCAATAATAAAACAAGACAGTTTATATAAGAACTCAGTGTGGAAAGTGCTGAATAAAACTGAAACTGAGCTGTTGAAGCTAAAAAAAAGGTAGAACACTAGCCAAAAACTAAAAGAAGCAAAAGGCTAACAAAGAGCTGAAAGAAGCGAAATGATAGCTAAAGGGAGAAAATGGTAGCTAAAAAGATTAATATAAGAGAAAAAAGAGCAAGTATGCTGAAGCAGATTTCAGAGAGAACAATGTTTTTGTAGGAACTGAATCAGGGGGACAAAATTCAAAATTTGGTCCAAGCCAAGTGCCAATTTCTGTCTAAATTTATTTAAAAAAGTTAAATGACAGATTATTCTTATAGAAATCCAACTTACCTTTTCCAAACAATTGATAGCATTAGGAACATCCATAACATAATGGATAAAGAAGATTAAATTTGGAACATCCTTAGCATTTATGTCTTACTCTCAATCAACAGCTTTTTCATGGATTATGTCTTAGA